CCTTCCCTTCGGCCTCCGGGGTCCCTTGTCCGTCCCCGCGTGGCAATCGAGCACGGGGCGAAGAGGTGCTCCCGGGGACCGCGCATGGAGAATGTCTGGTCTCGTCGGGGCACTGAGCACGCGCCCGGGGACAGGATCCGGGGGACCGCGGTGCCGGCATCCTTTCCGCATCCCCGATGCTTTCTTTGTGTTCGGGCACGGGGTCCCCAGAAGCCCCGATCCTTTTCCCTGGGGCCGGGGTGCCATCCCAGGTTGCGTTCTGACTGTCCCTGGGCCCGGCGAGGGCCCCTAAGGCCGAAATTGATCCAGAAGCTTCCATTGTTTGTTGTCGAGAATTAGAAGAATGATCTTAATGATCGTAATACTAGAAATAGTAATAATAATGAGGATATTAAAACTAATAATAATAATAATACTAATAATAATAGTAGAAATTCGGATGGAAATACTGGTAGAATTTTGAGTACTAATATTAGTAATAATAATGATAATAATAGTGAAAATTGTTATAATAATATAGTACTAATAGTCATAATAGTAGTAGTAATAAAAATAATAACAATAACAATAATAATAACCATAAGCAGACATCCGCCGATCTGTTTTGTAAATGTTTTGTCAATCCGTGGTCCCGGAGGTCCCGACCCCTTCCCTGGGCGTGTTCGCTTCGTCCAGGATCCGTTTCTGATGACCCCCGTGGCCCGATTCCGGGCCCCGGAGGCCGAAATCTAAGAACAAACCGCCGGATTTAGAGAAATCATGTCCTCGGATCTTTGGGAATGTCTGCTTGTCCACGGTGCGGGCGCGTCTGCGCTCTCCCCCGGCAAGGCCTGCTGCCAGGGGGCCCGGCAGGACCCCGAGGCGGAGGCGGTGCGGCTGGCCCAGGAGGCGGGCGGCGTGGCGGCCGCGGGCGCCGAAGGCCTCTCGGACGTGACGGAGCTGCAGGTCAGCATCGCTGTATCCCACCCGCTGGGACGACCGTGGGGGGGTCATGAGTGGATAGATAGGGGGTCACAAGTGGATGTCACAGGTGGTCACAAGGGAGGGTTCTGAGTGGATAGGGGGGTAATACAATCGGGTATAGCCAGGGCCCTGGATAAGGGGAACCGGTTCGTGATCGTGCCCCGAGCTCAAAGCAGAGGCAGACATCACTAAGCCAGGTCTGCCGTAGCTGGTGTTTTTCGGGTGACGGCAGTTCCGGTTAGCGGAACGGGGTGGGTGGGCGTCCCCGGTACACATCACTAAACCAGGTCCCATTAAACCCAGTTCTGCCAACGCCCGATACAAGTGGATGCCAAGGTGGGTTATGTCTGGCCCACCCGGGCCCATAAGTGGGCCACAACTGCCCCAAGCAGCCCATAGGAGGGTCAACGATCCGGGCTCAGTGGGCTCCGCCCACTTGGCGGAGTCATCTAGGCCCCCTAAGCCAATCGGGTAATTTGCAACCCACTTATGGGCCAGGTTGGGGCAGAGATAACCCACCTTGGCATCCACTTGTAACTTTCCTATCCAGAAGAAACCCCCACGGTCATCCCAGCAGAGATCCGAGGACATGATTGTTTTGAATCCCCGGACAAGAGAAAAAGCAGATTTCTTGAATCCGCGCTGGGTCCCTCTGGCGGCGCCTCCGGCGCCTCCCCTGGCGCCGCGCTCCGCGCGCCAGGGAGGGGGGTCCAGCGCAGAATACAAGGAATCTGTGCGGTCTGGCAAAAGTTAGGTGTATGCAATTTGTCGCTTCCTTTAAATCCGGCGTTGTTTGTTTCTGGATTTGGGCCTCTGGGGCTTGGTATCGGGCCCGGGGACCATCAAAAGTGGATCCGGGACGGAAAACCACGCCCGGGGAAGGGGTCGGGATTTCTGGGGCAGCGGATATTGAGAAAATCATGTCGGCGGAAGTATGGGTACTGGTGGGGACGCGCAGCAAGAAGCCATTTTCTCTTCATTGGGTTGCCCTGGGTTTCTTCGCTCCTCGCGCTGCACGGTGACTCCCCGCGGCCGCTGAAGAAGCTGCTGCGTTCAGGGTGCTCCAGGTTCCCCCACCGTGTGCATCTCGCGCGCGGTTTTCTGGGTCTTGCTTCTTGCGAGGGTTTCTTGCGGCCGCGTCCGCACTGTCTTACCCCAATCCCCACTGGGCCATGCATGGCCCATTTGCACCTCAGCCCCACCAGTCCCACCCCACCAGTTGGGGATTCGGTCGGGGCCTTTGGCTCGGCATGTTGCGCCGCTGGTTCTGCCGCACCACCCTGCGGCGCGACACGCCACCCACGTCCCAGTTCCTAAGCGTCAACGTCCCGAGCCTTTCCGAGCCTCCCGCCCCGCAGAGCAGAGCGACCCGCTGTCAGCTTGCAGGGCATCGCGTGTCGCCAGGGCCGCCGCCGCGACACGCTGTGCTCGGCGGCGAGCGAAGGGTGCAGGGAAGTGTGAAGGAGAAGGCGCTCTACTCTCAGAGAGTGGCGGGGCTTCTCTGAAGGCCCGCCCCTTCTTCCCCTCCAGGCTGGCCGCCGATGTGCAAAAGTTCCTCACCGTCGGCCCCTCGAAAGCCGGAGGGTGGGGGCAAGGAGGAGGGAGGAGGGAGGAGGGAGGAGGTTGAGGAGGAGGAGGAGGAGGAGGAGGAGGAGAAGGAGAAGGAGAGAGGAGGAGGGAGGAGGAGGAGGAGGAGGAGGAGGAGAGGAGGAGGAGGAGGGGAGGGGGAGGAGGAGTGGAGGAGGAGGGGAGGAGGAGGAGAAGGAGAAGGAGGAGGGAGAGGAGGAGGAGGAGGAGGAGGGGGGGCCAGGGCCGTGTCAGTATGGGGATGGGGACCGGCGCAGCGCTGCTCGGCCAGGGGGGGCTCGGCGGCGTCAGCCCGCGGATGTGCCCCCTGTGCTTCGCGGGGCCCCTGTACAACCCGGAGTGCGCGGACCTCCAGGCTCCCCGAGGAGGGCCAGGGGAGACTCAGGGGTGGACAGACCTCCTACCCTGACACGTCGATTGAGGAATTGGCCGTTTTCGGTTCGCGAGAGGGCGTCGCGGCCGTCATTTTTGCGGGTCCAGGTCCGTCGGTTTCGGTCCCAGGCCGTTTTCACTAAGGGGGGGTCTACTAAAGGGAGATTTGTCCACCGCCGACAGGGGAGACAGCGGCAGTTGTAAGTCGGGCCTGTCCCTCTGCAGGAGGGACTTTCAAACCTGGTAAAGACATAGTGGTCGTTGTTGTTAATGTTCATTGCTGTTCAGGAGGGAAAAAACACACAGACACAATTCATCGTCGGTTCCCCAGAAAATGTAGGAAAATATGGGAAGTGGGGGGAAGACAAAAATCCAGAAGATATGGGAAAATAGGGTAAAAACAAAAAACATACAGCAGGGGCGCGCATCAAGAAACCATATGCTTTTCGCCAGGGTGTCCTGGGTTTCTCCGCCCCCTCAGTTGCACCTCGCGCACGGGTTCTCAGGGCTGGGTTTCTTGCGAGGGTTTCTTGCGGCCGCGCCCGCACTGTAGTGGTCGTTTTTGTTATTCATTGTTCTGCCGATCGGCGCGGGCCCTCGCACCCCCCCCCCTCCCCCCTCCCCATGGAGTGGATCTTGGCTGTTTCGGGCGCGTTTCCAGGCAGGTGGAGCATCCCCTCATAGGACGCAGTGCTAGCAGCAGTCGCACTAAGCAGAGGTCCAGAGCCCCCCCCCCCCCTCCCCCCCCTTCCGCCCAATGTCGCAACGCCGATTACAAAAACGGTCACATGTCCCTCTACAGAAGGGATTCTCAAACATGGTAAAAAATAGTCTGGGGACGATGTTTCAACAATGTTTGAAATTCTTGGGTATTGTTCGACTGTGTTCTATTCTCCGTCGAAGTTCCGCCTGTAGGAAGGCATGCCCGACATGAGGGTAGTTGGCCTTCGGGAGTGGCCCCGCGTCGCCCCACCGAGATTCACTGGCGTCTGACGCAGCAAGACAAGAGCAGCATCGCACACAAACGACACGACCAGATCTCGGGACCGCGCCTTTTTTTGTGCCACTCTTCGGGCGGGATCGCTCGGCGAGGGCCCTGCGGCACGACCGCCAGCGAAAGCGGCCGGCGCGTCGAGACTGCACTGCCAGGATCTCCGAGCACGGATGCAGACCGGGCAGCATGCGGGCTCTTTCACCCCCAGAGAACAGGGGCCCAGGGACCGACTCTGAGCCGCCGTTGCCTCACTTCGCCCTGCTCCGGCAGAAGGACAAAACTGCATCAACCTAAGAGTTCGGAGCTCCGCGCTGATTTTTGTGATCCGCGACGGGCCCGCCAGGCGGCGCCTCCGGCGCTGCCCCTGGCGCGCTCCGCGCGCCAGGGAGGGGGGTTCACCATGCCCCTGCAAACGGGGAGTTAGTAAACGGGCAGGTAGCCAAGGGTGCGTTTTCAATGGTGCTTTCAAGAAATTGATTTGCCGCGCACAAGTGCGAGATAAGCCCCCCCGCCCAGAAGCGGGATGATGCATCGACGTTTTTGTCGCCCCGGTGCATCACGCACTAGTGCGAGGTGGATGCCCTGTCACCTCGTTCTCGCTTGAAGAGGCCCCTCAGCTACCACCCCGTTTACTAACACCCCTTTAGGGGCTTTTGGGGGAGGGGGCTTCAGCGCCGATTCCAGAAATCCGCGCGGACCTCCACAAGCAAGAGTGCCCGCGGTTCGGTCGAACCCGCTGCGCCGCAGCAGTCGGCGGCGCTCGGTCGGGCTGGCTCGGTTCGTTGCCGCGTCGCTGCTGCGCCGCCGCGTCCTTGCAGGCTGCTTGCGGCCCCTCGGCTCTGATCGGTCTCGGTTTCGCTGCCGGTTCGGCGAGTTTTCTTTAATGCTGTCGCCGCGCACAGCCTCGAGAAGCTGATGTTTTTTTCTTCAGGAGGGGAAAAAAACACACAGACACAAAGAATCGTCGATCCCCAGAAACGATGAGAAAATATGGCCAGGAGGAAGAGTATCGATGACGCGCTGCCACCGGGAGCCCGCCAGCGTGCTGTTCCTCGTTTTTTTGCGCGCGTGTGTGTGTGTGTGT